GATAGTCATCCAATTCTATGCTCTAGAATTTGTGGTTCAATTTACCATTCAGTTCCCACCTGCAGGCATGTATGCCTCATTTGGAGCAGGCCTCTGCTACCTGACTGTGCCTCGAAAAGTATGAGAGTTGAGTAAAGCTGAGAGATTAGTACCAAACCAACTTGAGCTGCCATCTGAAGGCTCACATCCCCAAGACACCAGACCTGCCCCATTTTTCTGGTTCTTGGGAAGGGTTTGTTAGCCTGCTAATAGTTTAAAGTTGGCTGCCAAAGGACAGTAGCATCTAACATGGGGTACAACATTGTTTTTAGGCCCATGGACGCAACCTAAATTTGTGAGCAAGTGCTATGGGCACCACACCTTCCATTTACTTCTCTCCCCTCTCCCTCAGCCCACAGATCAGCCCTTGCCACAGAGAGAGACACACAGAGAACCCACACATAAACATTTTCTTTTCCAGGAGTTCTGAGATCCAGTAGAATTAATCCGAGGCTTGAAAAGGACATAGAGCTGAAATAAGTGGGAAAGAGTGTCACTTTTCCAGCTTCCTTCCTCAGGTCTATGTACTTTTCAAGGGAGAAAAGGGTAAGCACCCTCACTACTTACAGATCCTCCAAAAGTGTCCCTATTTTCCAGGGACGTCCCTGATCTGGAGAAGCCACCCTGGTTTCTGATTTGATCCCGGAATGTCCCAGTTTTTCTTAGGACATCCCTGTTTTCATTGGAGAAATGTTGGAGGGTATGGAGTTATCTGACCCCCCCCCAAGCTGTCTGAAGGCAATCCTATATAGGGAAGGTTTTTTAAATGCTTTATTATGCCTTTATATATATTGGAAGCTGCCCAGAGTGGCTGGGGCAACCCAGTAAGATGTGTCGGGTATAAATAGTAAAATTTACATTATGGAATGGGACATCCCTATTTTCATTGGAGAAATGTTGGAGGGTATGCACTTATGGCCTAGGGACTTAAAGACCCAGTGAGCACCAGGGAAAGACCTCAAGTGTGCTCTTGCACTCATGGGCACCACATTAGTGACATTTGGCAGTTAGAGGATAACAGAGTAGCAAAACCTGGGTTTTGGAACTAACAATGAGTTTTGAAACAGTGCTGCCTCTGTTTTGAGTTGATTGTTAGTTACCTGAACCTTTTGTCATGGTGGGAGACAGCAATTAAGGGAAATAAATAAAGCTAGCTTTCCCTTTGCTAGCTTACCTTCATTTCCTGCAAATCCAAATGCACAGCCCATTGAGAAGATCTTCTGAATAGGTTCCACTTAAATTAATGGGTGCAGCACAAAGACACTCCTAGATTTTCATTTCTGTCAGTAGGGGATATAGATAAGCTCCTGCTGAATTGTCCCTGCTGTGGATGGCCATGCTCTGTAATTCTTCTGTGTTCCACATTAGAATATAGAGATTAGGTGCCACTCACACCCAGTGAGAGGACACAGTGACATTTTAGATTGTCTTGACGTCACTAGAAAGAGTGATCCATACAGTTTGGTCACTTTGCTCTGCTTCATATTGATTTGTGAGCAACCACGCATGAGAAGAAACTAGTAAACAAGAGAGCTTTATTTGTTCAAGTCTGCCCTGGTAATTTTTGTTAAATAATGGTGATTTCGGCCAATATTTAAAAAGGGTTGGTTTAAGATGAATTTGTGGAGAGTGAGTACACGTCTCTTGCATTTTAACCAGCTATTCTTTTCTACATTATTTGCAACACATTGTAGGATTGAAGAACGCACTAGTGAAAAACCCACCCATGTACCAAAAGGCATAACTATGGATTTTGTTAAATCAGGCACCTGGCGTGTAAGCAGGGCTACAGTCCCCTATATTGTGCTTAGGATAGCTGCCTTCATGCACCTACAATTTCCCCTGGTCTTTCAGCCCTCTTCCTCTGCTGTCCATTCAGCAGTGGCGCTGGGTTTTGCTCATGTTTTCACCCATAATTACTTCACTCTTGATTCTCTCTCACTCTCTCTTTGATATTATTATTGTTATTATTATTGCTTGTAATTTGTTTGGAAGAAACAAATGATTTGCACATAATGCTATGCCGACACAGTAGTTTGTTCTTTCCCACCATGGGAAAGGGGAGAAGCAGAGCAGACATGATTTGAGCAGCATGCACATGCTGCCCATTTGTAGTAAACCATGGTTTGCTTCCGTTCTGTGCATACAAGGCCATTATCTCATTACATCCAATGTAGGGAAAGCTACATGGTGAATTTATTTGTCTTTCATTGGCTGGCTCCTTTGCTAAGTGAAGCCCCATTGGCCCTCTACGTGTAAAGCATTATTATGCCACCATAAACAGTCATAGCTCCACCCCCCGCCAAGCATCCTGGGAGCTGTAGTTTGCTAGGGGTGCTGAAAATTGCTTAGCAGACCCCAATTCCCCTCACAGAGCTGCAATTCCCACAGTGGCTTAATCAATCCCTCTCCCTAAGGAATGATGACTGTTCAAAGTGGTATGATACTGCTTTAAATGTGTAGTGCAGATGAAGCCTGAGTCTACGATAGGAATGGGAAACTCTCCAGATGATATTGCAATTAGCTCTCATTCACTCCAGCCAGGAGGCCTGGTGGTCAGGGAATTGTAGCCCAACAACATATGGAGAAACCATCCATCGTGGACTGAGTTTGGGAACTGTTGCCTGGCAACTGGCAACTGGCATCAAAGGGAAGTCTGCTTCCATCATGGCTGAGGAGGATCCAACAGCTCACCCCACTCCTTGGCCTCAGAGGAGTCTTTTGTGAGAGATGCTGTCTGGTATGCTGTCACAAAGAACAAAGACAAGAGCCTGAATAATCCTGGTTCCGTATAGACATCCTGTGTGATTTTTATTTTTTTTGGTTGTCATTCCTTTCCCAGAATTGAGTAGGGTTTTGTTTTGAGGACCTTGCGTAAGCTACTTTGAGAAGCTCTCGGAGCTATAAAGCAGGAAAGAAATACTCCAGATAAATGAATAAAGTACTGAATGATACCTTTGTGACCATTCTTGAGTGTGTATGCAGCAAACTGGAATACAATTGTTTGACATCAGGAAAGGGCTGTGGAGAGCAAGAGATACGGGAACCGTGGCTTTCCTCTCGGTGCTCAGTTGGCACCATTGAATGCAGGCTGGACTGCACCCAGCTTTATCCAAATGTGTAGGCAGGTGCACAAAAAATGTAAGCAGTGAACCAGCTCCTTTCTAAGTATAAGTAGATGCCCAAGCAAAAAAGCATATTGTCATACACATATCATTCAGAATGAAGGCAATGAGACTTGGAGTGATGCACGTGACAACAACACACTTGCTTTTGTTATCTGCTGCTTCACATTTGCTTAGAGATGGTCTCCTATCCCCACTTGGCTTCTGTGCCTCTCCCTGCAGTGTAAACCATGAGTAGCTCTGAAAGGCAGGATGAGGCGTGCCAGTGTGTATACCTTTAAACATTGCTATGCGACTCTGGAAGCAGCTATTTTAAGACAACACTTCCTTTTATATTTAGAGCGCTCTGCAGTATAAATTGTTTAGCACTTCCCTCCTCTCAGATGGAGGGTATAGTAGCTTGCAGCGCTTAACACGCTGTGCTGCAGCTGAAAACTGACGTTAAGGGGAACAATCTATTCAGAAATCAAAGTACAATTCCTTGTTGGATGTGCTTTCCCTTCCCTGGGGAGTGGGGCGCGGCAGGGTGGGTGGGTGGGTGCGATGGCTTTCAGCTGGCTTATTGTCTTTATTTTTTGGGTTCTCTCTTTGTTGTCAGTTGCCTGTGCATCCTGCAACTGAGCGGCGAGATAGTGAGGCTCCAGCCAACTCTCTGCAACACAGCCAGAGAGGCAGGCAGCAAAAATAGGCTTGCCACGCGTGGGAGAAGCAGAAGCCACATTATGAGCAGAAGCTTCCACGGTATTATTTTAGACCCAGCACGGACCTGTTCCCCTTTTGCTCTCTTGTCAAAAGATGACACATGGTCCGCTCAAAAGGAGCGAGGGCATCAAAAATACAGTCGAAACGCAGGTCTCTCTCCATCACACGCAAACACGCAGGGAGGCACAGTAACCTAAACACATAATACAGACAGAGGCAGGTTTGGCATTAGGACAAGGTAATCGCTTTGGAGGGGATCGCGCTGGAGACCTGCAGCTTTTTTTGCTTTTTTGAAAGACAGGGACTGGCCAGCTGGGTGAGCTGAGGTATTTTTAAATGCATTCATGCAGGCTCCAATCATCTGGCCATGCTTGACCTATTTTTGGCTCAGGCCAGCCATTGTTCTATTTCTGTTGCCTGTGGGCCAGGCTGTTGTTGATCCGTATGCAAATGAGCTCTCACAAGCTCCGGCCAACTTTGCACAGAGAGAGAGAGGCAGGCAGGCAGGCAGGCAATCAAAGAGGAGGAGGAGGAGGAGGAGGAAGAGGACCCAGAGACAGAATCACTTGCCAGGGTTGGGAGTAATTGAAACTTAAACCCCTAGGGAGTCAAGTCCCTAGAAACTGTGCTTGCTTGTTTTTGTTTTTAAGTGGTTTTATTTCTCTCACTCGACTCCCAAGAATAACCTGAGGGAGAAATATATCCCTCCTCCACCTGCTCTTGGCTTCCAGAGCGCAGCTAACACAACTAGAGAGGTGCATAATAATCAACAGTTTTATTTTCTTTTTTTAAAAAAAATACCTGTGTATCATTGTGCCTTAAGCTTCTGCGGCAGAGTAAATGGTTTTTAAACTGGATTGCTGTCATAGTTGATGCTTACGAAAACCCTGTGTATAGAAATATTTCATTTATACGTATACATATGCACATGTTGGTAATTTAGTGCCATTTAGTATTGTTTTTGGTTCGGGGTTTTTAAACCCCACTCATCCTGGGGAGGAGGAAGCAGGCAGCAGAAGGGGTCGTTTCCAACGCCTCTGAACGGTTGATGATGAATCTTTCATGTAGCAGAAGTGCAGTCTGATTGGAATATGCTGCAGACAATTTACGAGAGTGAATCGTGTTTTTCCTCAGATGGAGTTTCGGGACGTGACCAGCTCTTGGCTCAGCAAAGAATGCACAGCATGATCAGCTCAGGTAAGAAGCTCCTTGCTGACTCAGCTTCTCGATCTGATAGATAGTTGCATATGTGTGTGTGTCTCCATATAGAATATATGTATGCATGTATTATATTCCCACATACACAGAACCTGTCAAGAATTTGAGTTCTACGTCTGCATCTTTCGTTTGTATCCAGCTCCTTGTTCAGCTAAGAGCTCTGCCACAGTATTACCTCCAAGATATTCCTCTGTTGCTGTTTCGTGGCTTGTGTTTTCTTGCCCCTCTGGGAATGCTAGTTTCTAAGCAAAAGAAAGTCATTTTCTTTTGCATTTTCCTGTCTTGCTTACAGTGGGCTTGAGGGGTGGTTGTATTATGAAGCATTTTTGTTTGGAAGTAAGCCTGCACTCCTAACCACAGTAAGATAGCCATCTGAACCAGTGAGGCTTAGGGTTGTGGTAGCTGTTTGCAATCCTAAAAATTGATTTCCTGTACAGGCTCAGACCTCTATTGCAGTTGCTAGGACTACTCAGGTTTTCTCAGCATTTTGGGGGCGGGGGGCCAGGGAGTGGAATTTTCCAGTGGACAACAGCTAAGAATTGGAAGATGTAACTCATCCTATCTGGTGCAAATAGGCTTAAAGCTGTCTTCTGTAGTATTATCTCTGAAATCACAGACACTGAAAGATTTCTGCTAGCATGCTTTTCTGATTCCCTAGCGGTGCCTTGTAAGCTTAGTTCTAAAGTGCATCTGTTTGTACCAGATTTGTAGTTCCTTTCCATGGTTTGAAACACATTTGGGAACATTGAAGTGAAAGTTAGAGGTGATGACTCGCTGAAAGTATCTAGTGAACAGGTGTTTTAAAGATGCAGTTACCAAATTGTTGAAACTACCCGCCTCTCCAGGTTTAGAAGCTCTCCTGGCTTCTGTAACCACCTGTTTGCAATGCATGGTATGTAAAAATCACAGAAGCTGATGACGCCATAGGAAAAGCATTATTGTTTTTGGACACACATTTTAATAAATTGAGAAATACATAAATGCTCCCGAATACAAGACACAGTACTTGCTTGGCACTGTGTAGTGCTACAGTGGTACAGTACTGATTCTTAAATTACAATGAAGTTTTTCGTTTTCATGCCATAACTCCTTTCATTCATTTTAAATCGTGCAAGGCTTGCTCATCTGAAATGTCTGATCAGTTGCATAATCTTATTCAAGCCTTCAAGTGGCTGCAACCCTAATTAATGGAGAGGAAACAAATGTTTGGTTGACAGCCTGCCCATTACAATGTCCATACTCCCAGGGCACCTGTTGATCTCTATGGGATTTTATGATATAGGATATGTGATAATCTGTTGCCCTTCCTGTTTTATAAGTAAAACTAAGCATAGCATTGGAATCTCATGGGTATGCTCAGCTGGGCAGTTTGAACAAGAACTGTAGGAAGCATGCTGTAGTGAGAACCCTGAAAAGCCTACACTTTTATTTCCTAATTACTCCCACCTTGTTTTTTGTAGGTTCAAATTATGGTTTATGCCATGTGCATTTTTAAAGTACCCTTTTCTGTACCTTTAACTAATGCATAGCAGGTAGAAACCAGTAGCTGAAGCTTTATCCATCACTGCATTCCCATGCTAGGGAATGGTTATACCTGTTGATTTCTGCCTGTTGGGCTTCTGTTAAAGCACCAGGACTTTCCCCATGTGAAGGTGAGCACAATGCAGTGCATGCCCTCCACTGGCCCCACAATTGTCACTGTGTATGATGTAGATTTGAAGGCGCACCTGGATTGTTGAGGGTGCAGGTTTGCTGGGTGCACAGCTTCCCATCCCCTCTTCAAAGGTTGTGGTGAGAATTGTTGTGCAGATAGTAATTCATAGCAAAAAGAGGGGGGTGCCTGGCGTTGGTCAGTGGCAGAGTGTCTGCTTTGCATGCAGGAAGTGCCAGGTTCAATCCCTGACATCTCTGGGTAGGGGTGGGGAAGACTCCTGCCTGGAACCAGGAAAAGCTGCTGCCTCTCCATGTAAACAGTACTGAGCTTGATGTGCCAGTGCGCTGACAGTATAGGGAGCAATGTTTCTATATTTAATTGGGGATGGGGTGAGTTGGCATTTCGAAAACTAAATTGGGTACACGGGCATTTTGGGACCCTGCGGGACTTATGGACTTGTTGGTGTGTCTTGGTTTAACATAGGCTAAGAAAAGTGAGGAAAGTTGGACAGAGTTCTCCCTTAGGGATGAGCAAAGTTTCAACATTAAGACTGCACTCCTATACCCACAGGGGTGCCAGCTCCTTGGGGCCCCAATCTTTTGGGGGTGGGGGGTGCCCCTGTGTCCAAACAGTACAGAGGCAGAGTGTAGAGCCGAGCACAGAGTGGCTATAGTGGCCAGCTCCCCCTGCTCCTGCCACGGAGGGGAAGGAGTGTTGAAGCAGCCTCCCACTGGTGGCAGTGCCAGGAGGAGGCGGAGGAGTAAAAGCCATTGAAGCTGTGCAGCTGCTCAGTTTGGCTCTGCCTCTGGCTTCTCCCAACATTGTGGATGGCACATCCCCCGGTCTCCCATTGCCCTCACAAGCTGGCGCCTCTGTATACCCACTTACCTGAGAGCAAGTCCCACTGAACACTGTGGAACTTGTTCCTGAGCAGACATGATTAGGATTACATTGTTGGGTTCCTATACCAAACAGATGTATGGAAAAGGGACTTTGGGCAGGTGTAGCTTTTCAAACTCCTGGAGGCCTGTGACACGAGAATCACCATCTGCCAAAATCATCTCTTCTGTACAACAGATAAAGTTGCATGATCCCTAAATGTTTGACCAGTGCTCTTCCACGTATTGTCATCTGTTGGAATGGCTTGACAGGATAATAAAGTTTCTAGGTCTTTATAGCCAGCCCTTCTCTCCCTCTTGCAATAAATCTTTTAAGGGTGTGTCCATTGTGGTGTTAGAATCATAGAATCGTCAGATTGTAGAGTTGGAAGGGACCCTGGCGATCACCTAGTCCAACCACCTGCAATGCAGAAAGATTTTACCCAACGTGGGGCTCAGACCCACCACCCTGAGATTAAGAGTCTCATGCTCTACTGACTGAGCTATCCTCAAGGTCTTTGTGTCCACTCGAATAGTGCTTTTTTAAAGTGTACACATGTCACTTGGAGGGGAAAGGAGAGTTAGGAAGGGCCATAGCTCTGTGGTAGAACAACTGGTTCAATCCCTGGCATCTCCAGTTAGAGCTAGACTAAAACCCCTGAAGAGCTACTGCCAGTCCGTGTTGACACTAGATAGACTTGAAGGGGAAACACGTCAACAGACCAGGAGGGCCTAAGAAAGAGAGGTCCTGATGGGCAAGCAGTGGTGGAGCTGGCACAGCAGGGATTTCAGGAAGGTAGATCTGGTGAAGCAATGGGGACCAAACAGCAAGGAGGCACTATGGAAGCAGTGGTGTGAAAACAACAAGGCCACCAGCTAGAAGAGCATAAACCTAGAGTAGGTCCCAGGGTATTCTTACTATTGGCTGCTGCTATCAATTCTGCTTACACAGCTGATCAAGAACCTTCAGCCCTCATCTGGGGGAGGTCGGGGCAGGAGAAAGCATGTAGAGAAGGTTGCCTGGCAACTGCCAAAACGCTTGCCTGCTGTTTCTGGGTAACTGCATGCTTTCTGCTTTCCCTGTCTGTCCTGGAAGAGACCCAGGCAGACATGGCGCGCTGAGGGCTCCAGTCTGCTCAGTGTAGAGCTCATGGATTGGGTATGTGCATCCCATCTGGTCACAAGGAATTTGAAGGGACTTGGCATATTGCCTGTGCTTTTTTGACCACAGGTGCCAGCCGTTAGATCCCGCTTTTAAAAAAATGTTGTGAGCAATCTAATGGATTTTTTCATGTAACACAGACTTAAAATTCCACATGCTCCTTTATGTTCACGATGTACAGTTTGGATACCTGGATGAAAAAGCATTGGAGTGAATCCTTTTTCCCTGACCCTGATTGTGTGAGTCTCTGGATAACAATATCAGGGCCCCACAGCAGTTCCTCTCACTTTATCTCCATGGTGACTTCCTGCCTGCCAGGCTGTTTTAAAACTTAAGTCCTCCGAACCAGGCCAGTGAAAAGTTGGCAGCTTTGATAGTGAATCCATCAACCATCAAATGCTAGGATTTACTTGGTTCATCTTGTTTACCTTATGCGATGATTATACGCGCACTTGGTTCAAAACTAAGTTCCGTTGAAATTGGTGAGCCTTGCTTCTGTATGGATGTGTGTTCAAAAAAATGAGCTGGTATTCTCTTCCACATGAATGGCTGCGCACTGCACTCTTTGGTGGACGATATAATTGCTTACATTGCTCTGTAGCTTGTCATGTACTAAGGATGTGGGAAGGGACCACAGCACAGTGGTGGTGCATATGATTTGCAGGTAAAAAGCCCCAGGTTCCATCTCTGCCCTCTCTAGGTATGGCTGGGGATACCCCTGAAACCCTGGAGAGCTGCTATTCGGTGTAGACAGTCCTGAGCTAGATGGACTAGTGTTCTGATTGCATAAGCAAGGTTCTCTCCTGTGCATTAATTGTGGTGGATAAACAGTTCCTTTAGCCAGAAACACAACATGGCATATTTACACCACCTACCATCAGCCACGAAAAACAATTAGGAATTTGCACAAATGAAGCGCATACTAAATGGGTTCTGTTTCAGTCACAAAGCCTTAAATAAATTGTACAAGCATTCCTCAGCTCAGACGACTCAATCTTAAAAAATAAAACGGAATGGGTTGGCACTGGATACACATTCACAAACTAAACTGTCACAGGAGTTTCTGAGGCTACGAGGCTCGTGAAATATTGCTGTCATTTGAAGCAGCAGTTCTAGAATTCCCTTAATTACTGCTTCCTCCATTTGCCTCCCTCTCTGTCTGCAGCGCCTATTATGAATGGGATGAACCGGAGAGGCAGCAATCAGAAATCAGGTTATGAATAAGGCATTCTAGAAGGGTGCTAAATAAAGGCACCTGCATGTTACTGTGTGATAATAATGACGC